GTTTATACGATGCAAGAACAAACTTGTGCCAACATCTTGTTTTGGACGTGCTGTGTAAATTCCATTTTGATTGGTATTTATCACTGTGTCTATTTTGTAATTTTAGAAAAGAGAAAGAAGTTGGTATTGTTTACTTTAGATCTCTCTACTCTCCAGACAGCTTCACATCAGACGAGGTATACATGCTCATAGGCATCAAATATTCTTTGAATCTTCCACAGAGAACTCTTTATCAATTAATGATCAAATCAATCAATGGTCCTATAGTGAAGAACTACAAATATATATTCAGTAACCTATTGTTAAAGAACTTATACTTGTATTGTTTGTTCAGCTTTATTGACTGTTAGAAGGGTTAGTGAACTTAAAAAAAAGATAATTCAAAGTTTCAGCCTCAAAATTTTAGTTGCCTTTGTGTTAGAGATTAACTAAAAAGGATTCTTGTAAATTCATATTGAGCTTTCAGAAATATTACACAGACACTGTATAATAGTAAATATGAAATTAGCAAGAAGCAAAAAACGTCATCATTGAATATCAGTCACTATTTCACTATTAAAAGGGGTTTGTGTAAAAAACCGGGTAACCGGAGGGACCGGGTACCTAACGTTCCTGGCAGGGTTAGGAATTTTTTATTTATAACTTTGGATCTGGACGATACATGTACGTTATTTTCGACGTCACGTTTTGAGGTTATTTCACATCGTAAGAACGTTTTTACAATGTTAACCTTTAACGGTAAAATAACGTCGGTAATGAACCGATTTAGTGAGAACATATTGACGTCTTTGCAGCGTTTCCTTAACTCACAAATATTTTGAAGCCATCCACAATGTTGAAATTCAACCATCCATCGACGTTTTGCTGAATATTTAAATAACGTCATATCAATACGGTCCATAAACGTCATTATGAACGTTATTATTATTGACGTCACGTTTTGAGGTTATTTCAAATCGAAAAAACGTTTCGACAACGTTAAATTTTAACGTTAGCAATACTTCGGAAGACTTAGTGAGAACATAAAGTTCTTCCAACAAATATCTTGATATTAAAAGCCTGTTTTGACAACGTTGAAATTTAACGTTTGAGTTACGTTCCTGTTTGTTATGTTTTCCTCACTAACGAACTTTACGGACACGTTACAAAAACGTTCTTTTTATACCATCAATAGATGTCTCATGTTTACGTTGCCTCGATGTGTAAAGAACGAAAATGTGCAACGTCTTCTAGGAACTTATATGCTACTTATGAGCAACGTGACATGGACGTCACTGTTTGCTTGATCGATTATTTTAAAATGTGCTCTGTCTCGTATAGGGTAAATATCGAACAGCATTGCACTCGAAAGGCTAAGTCTGTCAAGTCAATTCGCTACTATATATCGGGGGAAATGTGGAACTTTGAAAGTTGGTAACCCTGCTAGGAACGTTAGGTACCCGGTCGACCGGGTACCCGGTCACCCGGTTTTTTACACAAACCCATATTAAAAGCATGCCATACATTTTAGGATTGGAAGACTAGGTTAAAAATTGAGCGTTCAACTGCAATAAAATGCCCAAACATCAACCTTCACCTCTCAGGGGCCAAGAAGGTCCAGCAAGAATTAACCAAACCAGGCATAGTAGAGAGATATATCAAAGATCCTCAAGCCGTCCAGAGAATTCGAGCTACATTTGCACAACAATTCAGCCTAGAACAGGTTAGTTATAATTCTCACTTTGGTTGAAGATTTTGTTAAGGAGGGGGTATTAATGTTGATTTTGCGATTTATGAAGGTTAAATTGAGAGTATGATTCAAACGTGAACAATTTACAAGATATACCAATATACATGGACTGTATATCCTGCTCAGTGATAACACCTCTTTAAGTGAAACACGTCAGAGTCTCTTGACCAACTGACAAATGAATAGAAAGTTGAACACCTCCCAAGTTGAACACTTTTTAGATACACCAGGTGTTCCACTTACACAGGTTTTACTATTATTTGTATTTAACATTTTCAGAATGAGGAAGGTGACAATGCTGTAAGACTCGGCATAGAAAAATCAGAGAGATTTGTTTTGAAACCCCAACGTGAGGGTGGAGGTACGGAACAACTATGTAGGGTCTATATGCTATCAAAGATTTAGTAGTTTGGTGTGGTCTATATTTTGTATGCCTTTTAAAGTCATATCATTTTTATCATGAATGAATATTAAAGAGAGGGAGTTTACTAACTCCGGAAATGTAGCAATATACCTTAAATAGTAAGAAACCATACAATAGAAATTAGGGAAATACATGAATGTTGAATTATTGATCACATTGGTGTACAGTTTATATTTATTGCTTTGACTTTTTAGGTAACAATTTATTTGGAGATGACATCAAAGACTTGCTATCTAAGATTAAAGATTCAAATGAAAGGACGCAGTATATTTTAATGGAAAAAATTAGACCACCAGTGTTTAAAAACTATGCAGTGCGAGCAGACGAATCAGTTGCATTATGGGATATGGTCAGTGAATTTGGAATATATGGAGTCATAATAGGGTAAGAATTTGACTTTTAAAATTCATTAACACTATGCATGCAAACCTTGCATATTTAAATGTAACAAGAATATATCAACATTTCCATTCAGAAAAAGATTCCATGATGCAAAATGTTTTTAAACAAAATAAACTAAATTTAACTGTAGATTTTAGTCAATCACAATTAAATTCAAGGCATTCATCATTACAAATTACATAATATTCTTGAAAATATAAGCAAATTTTGAGTCACATTACTTTTTGTACCCTCCTCGCATACATCCTCTTTAGAATTAAAAATTTTCTTTTTCAATGAAGAATTCTATCTTTTGATTTCTTCTGTCATATTTTGAAATAGAAATCTTAATTTATCATCACCTCGTTGCATCTTTAAGTACATGAACAAATTTTGCTTGAAAATGCCTGTTTATCTTAAGAATTACATATTTTCAGGACTTCTGATGGCATTATCATGAACACAGAATGTGGGCACCTGGTACGGACTAAAACTCTGGGTACGAATGAAGGAGGTGTGGCTGCTGGCTTTGCAGCTCTAGACAGTCCATATCTCGTGTAATTGCTGTAGAATTAGCCAATTGATAAATTGAATAAATATGGCCCTTCCATTTACAATTTACATCATTTTGGAGAAATCTGCTGTTTTGTTGTCAAGACATCACAATTTTTGCTAGTATCATCATTGACTTTCTCTTAAAAGTCCACTGTATCATTTCTTGAATCACTAATTATACAGTCTTTATATTTAAATCAATTGATATAGTATTTCGAGCATGTATGTGCAAGTTATCTAAACTCCACAGTGCAATTTATATTATATGTTTGTAAGGACTTACGTGTAATTTAGAATATACATGTATGATGTACACATGTATACAGCAAGAATATATGATAATGCAAGATATTTTATCGTTGACACATTCCAGATTTTATTTGTATCGGCACTGAAGAATGTTTAAGAAAGTTATAGCATATAGTGCATTACTTCTGTGACTACCCTCGTATAAAAGGCATATACCATACCAATTGTAACCAAACCAACCTTAGACAATGTTGGTCTTGTTTTAAAAAAATAGTAGTTTGTTAGTTGTTTTTAAAAGTAAAAAACTGAAGAACTGTATCTGTTTAAAAACATAGATTATGTATTAGGCTAGTTATTTAACAAATTGTTTAGTTTAACTAGTAACATTTACTTTTATAGGAATTATCATACTCAAATAAAATGAATGCACAATAGAATCTGTCCATTTATGTCCCACATAATTTTCCTCGGAATAAACGCCAATGGGTGTTGTACTTTTGAAGATCTAATGATGTGATTTCACGAAACCCAAATATTTGTCGCTTTACAAGAATGATGGTTGAAAGTTGACAAAGGAAAATCCCTCATACAAGGAAACTGTTGGTATTAGATCCATAGCAGAAAATGGTTGTATATCATGGACGTTCGCGGGATGACCGGAGGGGTCCGGGTACTCTGCGTGCGACTACACGCCCCCCTCTGATTTTGTTGGCTCACATGGTGAGCTTTTGCAATCACTCACTTGTCCGTCTGTCTGTCCGTGCGTACGTGCGTGCGTGCGTCCATCCGTGCGTCCGTACGTCCGTCTGTCAACACCAGTGACACGATTTAAAACCTCTGTCGATAGGATTCCCGTCTTAAGTTATTTTTGTTCAACATCAATACAGAAAACTCCCCTATGACTCCTGGTTCAAAAGCTCGCCTATTTTCAAGATGGCTGCCATTTTTTGTCTCGTGAAATTCATTTTTGACCCATTTCCTAGCTTTACAAATAATGTCAGGTGTCCTGCATTGTAAAAATCCAATGTCAATGTGAAGAGTAGTTGTATGAAATAATTTTGTTACAAAAAATCAACAAAAAATTATATCCGTCTTTTTTATTTTCAACAATTTTAGTTAACATTGATTTGTCCATCTGTCTTGCTAAATCCACTTTTGGACCAACAATAGTGACACGTTTTAAACCCCTGTCGATGGGATTCCAGTTTTAAGTAATCTTTAATTGTTCAACATCAATACAGAAAACTCCCCTATGACTCCATGTTCAAAAGCTCGTCAATTTTCAAGATGGCCTCCATTTTTGTCACGCGAATTTCACTTTTGACCCATTTCCTAGCTTTACAAATAATTTCAGGTGTCCTGCATTGTAAAAAGCCATGCCTTTGTAAAGAGTAGTTGTATGAAATAATTTTGTTAAACGTCATCATTCACTTTAATTTTGAGCAACACCATGTGAGCTAACATACAAGTAAAGTATACAATTAAACAACATTTTGATCCACGAAGAAAGTGTTACTTCGTACATTTTATAGAATCGGTTTTGTCTGTATGTGAATTGCCCGGGGTGAACTGCCCCCTTGCTAGGGTTGAATGTATCCTGGATCAAATCACCACCAGCGCCACTAATAACCTGTTCTGTGTTTGTACCAAATCAACAATCTCTTTTCTCTTTTTAAAAGTATCACATTTATTGCTGTTTTTTTTATACACAAATAGTTTAAAGTAAAGTGATTAAGCCGAATATCTAAATTACGTTCGTTGTCATCACAACGCCTTAGCTACAATAGGAACAAACTCGTTGTTACCAGAGAAACAAAGCCTTGCCATCATCATGAGCAAGGAGAACAAGACTCTCAAATATAATTAAAACATCTTCGATTTCATGCCTTGGAACAATCTTTCTGAGAAGATGTTGAACAACCAGTGGATTATTGATCCCTTGTTCGTCCACTGATCCTTTCACCGGTGGCCCATGGAGAAGCCCGTACTTATTCACCAACTTTATAGCCAAATTTGGGTGGTGTTCCATCCGGTAACCAAGGGGATAGAGGCTTCTTTTAATGAAATCAAAACGGTACTTCAAATTCATATATTGCATATGGTTGAGTTTCCCAGTTTCAGGATCGCACGAGTCCAGTTTAATCATATGTTCCAAGTTACCGATTGTGTAACCATAGAAACGTTTTTTGTCCATTTTTTCACCGGATTTCTTGTTTTTATTGAATACATAGAAGAGAATGCGTCTGTCCAACTGGAACGCTATCTCTCCGATGATACGTTTGGTTTGGTTCATTTTGTTGAGAAGGCCATCCGTGTACGATGCATGGAGAGCAGATGGCGTTTGAGTTGACATGTAGTAGTCGTATACTTCGCCATGACCAGGTGTTACGAGGATCTTTTGAGATTTGGACGTTAGAGGACGGCTCTCACTTCCACATTCTTTATCTGTAGAGATAAGAATGCATTATTAAACCGAACATAACGATAGTTACATTTTTATTTTTTTATGTAAAACACTCTTCCCCGACTACAAGGTATTAAACAAATACTGGACGATCAGGAGCTGGATATGGCAGAATACCTATATTTCCTATTCGAGAAAAAATATTGGGCGAGGCGGCAGCCGAGCCCAATATTTTTTCGAGGATAGGTATTCTGGCCATATCCAGCTCCTGATCATCCAGTATTTGTTTTATTATGCACCTCCCAATCAAAGTTAAGTGGAGTGCTTGGCTTAAACTGTCGTTTAGTTGACATTATTTTGACATTTATTTATTTTTTCTTTCAAAACTCAGACGACTTCTGGCCAGTTTATTCGCTACACTGGACGAAAATATTTGCCCCGGGAATTTAATTTTTATTTATTCGAGACGTTCTTGCAGAATTATATGTAACTTTTGAATGATAAGGGTAATTGTGATTGATTAAGTGCATTTTTTTCTTCTATTTTCCGCCAGTTTCAGATGTAAGCTTTAAGTAGTACTCCAGTTTTTAAGAAATAAAACTCTGAAGTGGGAATGTTGCAAAAACATTGAAAAAAATATCCGACCCTTTTTCTCGAAAGGGTCAGATATTAAAAAAATATCCGGCAGTTTTCAGAAAAGAGCAGAGTATTGCCAAATTACAAGCAACTAAGAACCAATCAGATTTGAGTATTTTGATGAGGTGCATAATAAATATAAATATTATGATACTATACATACTGCTTTATGCCAACGGACAATTATGTCTCTACATTGTTTGAGTAATTAATCGTTTAATCGCTAATATTATTATGTTGCCACGGTTGCGGTTTTTCTTTTCATGGAATAATGCTCACCTTTTTCTGAAGACATGTGTACCATACTTTGTGACTTTCGATGAGACTTCGGTTTAACATCCATAGTGTTACTACTCATATCTTTATGTCGAGGCATTGTCGACGCATCTCCTGTAATAAACCCAAGACGCATATGCTGTATGTTATAGGATTAATTAAGACATGCTGTACATGTAAGATTAAATAATTTATAATACACGAGTCAGAAGGAACTGATCATTTCCAATAATGGAAACAAAATGATGAAAAGATTCGATTGAACGCGACTTAAAAATAATATTTTACTTTCAATAATCTACAAGAAGCTGTGCCAGTGAAATATACTCCAAAACGAAGGACTCACGTTTTTGTATTGGGGTTGACATTGCGATAGGATCGCCAATCTTGTCAGCTTCCCAGATATAACCGTGGCCAATCGTACCCACAATAGTTGCCTTTCGTCTTATTGGTGTTCTCGTTGGAAAGACCCCGTCATTGCTGTAAGAGGCATTATAATATCCATTGTCCGTGTTTCCCAGTGTGTGTTGGGGTTGCATAGTTGAACTCTGTAGTTTGGACCCCACGACCTGTTGTCCTAGGAATTCATTGTATTGCTGCTGGTTCATATTGTGACTCCTGGGTGAATTCTGTCTGTCTTTGTTCGCCTCATATATGAATATAACGTGCTCCCTGCTGTCATTGAAAGAGGGTGATTTCGGGTCGGGAAGATCCGAAGTGTTCAATCTAGCTGGTCTTGGTGATTGGGCTTTGGATTGCTCTGCATCTGCTATATTCAATTTGAGGCTTGAATGTTCGGGTTCCATTGCTAAGTCACTGGGAGATATCCTAGGAGGACTCGGAGGAGGTGAAGGAATCTCGTCGCTTGATTGTTTTGTCCGGTTAGTCGGCTTTGTCGTGATTGGTTGAGTGGTCCTAATGGACGAGGGCGTCCTTGGTGTTGAAGGAGGCACATTTGGTGGTCGACTTTGCCCGCCAATTGTACATGTCGGAAGACCTTGATTCGTTTGTTCCGAGATCTGTTCTTTATGGCGTTTGAGTATCTCGGCAACAGGAGAAAGAATACTTCCTGAAAATACCCAAGTCATATCAAGGTATGGTACCTGGCACTGGCAGATCAGGGTTAAGAATAGCCCAAAGTAGAAAGAAAAATAGACTTCAATTTGTTTCAAAAGTTTTTAATTCAAACTGGGCACAGTCTTTTAAAGGGATGGATTTTTCTGAACAATTCCAACCCTTGCCTTGTTTTTTGGAACACTGGTCTCATTAAATTAAAATACTGTGTATGCTTACCCATGTTCGGTTCATGGTCATCTAGCATAGAAAGAACTCCTGCCAATACATTTGCAGACTTTAACTTTGAATTGTGTTTTCTCAGTTCAATAGCCCGCCTAAGAAAATAGTTTTCTGCGATTAGTCGATTATTATCCTTGTTCAGTTTGTCGAGTGTGAAAACACTCATTGGACCAGCTGTCTCCATTTCAAATGTTTCAAATGTTTTAAATGGGTCCTGTTCTTCTAGCGTGGCAAAAGAGTCACGGGGTGACCCCGAGGCCATCTTTTTGTTTCAAGTTCTGTTAAAAACCTCTATCTCATCCGGCTGTTTCTATGAACAAAATATTTATTGAAAAAACACGACATCGTCATGGAAAGTTTATTGAGAATTTACTTTGTTTATTGCACACGTAATATACTGATTTTCCATGACACCATAATTCACATCATTGTTATTATGCATGACGTCATAAAACATAGTTTTGGTGATATTATTGAGTAAAGCACCTTGGATACACGATATTTTGTTTGCTGTATTAAACAACTTTTTATTGTATTAAACAATATTAAAGGAGATGAAAGTGCAGGCCTTAGACTATTTTTTCCGTCAAGCTTTGCTAAATAGAATTTTCATCAACTTAAAAGATTACCCAACTGATTTGAAAAAACAATAGGTTAGTACCTAATTGTACGTAAATCTTTGTGAGCAATATTTGATTTGTGTGGAAAGAATGAGACGGTCACGTTAGATTTCAGCGGTGAATAAAGTTTGATGAATCAATGTGACTTTAGAATATCCAAATAGTTTCAACTTCAAATGGTATCAGTTTGACATCTCAAAAATAAAGTCCATGTCTGTCATGTGGTCATTTTTGTCTTTTAACGATTGCTTGAGTATATTTCAACTGTCACACTAGTTCAATGCAATAAATAATAAGAGCTGTCACACAAGTATCGTAAAATTATCCATGTGTGGAGTTATTTTCACGTTGACTTTGTCATTTGAATGCTTGTGTAGTGCATCAAGGTGCATTTTTTATAAAATCAATGTGACATTACAGATATATGCTTCACTTTGAACAAGTACACGTATATTAAAGTCAAATTAAGTTCGAAGTTCCAGTTACTCCGAAAGCGGAAATGGATCCGGAAGATATGACGGTACGTCTTCACAAATTCGAGGACAGTTTCACGTTTCCACCTCGTCCCATTATTACACCAGCTTTGTAATTTGGGTTGATGATAGCTTCCCTCTCAAAGGTGAAATCAGAGATGGGATATTCCGTACGCCCATCTATTGCCAGTTGGCTTAAAATTTTCCCCAATAAAGATGCGAATCTGGAAATAAAAAGAATGATATGATTTTTGGTCACGGAAGGTGTTTTTTCCTTACACTAGGCAGGATAGCTGAAAGAACAACGGTCTACGCAGCTATCTCGACGGATAGGATGTTCAAGAAGATTTTAAGGGACAAATGGACACAAGGTGACAAGAGCTTCCGCTATAATTCTAAGTCTCACGTGCTTAAAATCGTCCATACATTTAATTCATTGCTGAGTCTCGGATTCGTGTGATAAAAAGTTGTAATTGAAAAAACGCCATCTTGAGAATTTCTTTTTGAGCAGAACTCTTTTGTCCCTAGGCATCAGCGTAAAGAATTTGGATCAAATCTATCAACTGGTATTTGTGTTATCAAAGATTCCATGTAACGACAAATGGCAGCCATTTTAATAAATAGCAGCCATCTAGAGAATGTTTTGAGCAGAGATCCTTTATCACTTTATCTCTGGGGATCATTATGTAAAATTTGAACCACACCCGTCTACTGCATGTTATTTGAGTTATCAAAAATTACGTTTTTACGAAAAATGGCGGCCATTTTGAAATACAGCGGACATCTTGAAAATCTGTTATTAAGCAAACCTCCTTTGTCACAAGGCATCAGCATGTAAAATTTAAACCAAATCGGTCAAATAGTACAAGCTTGAGTTATCAAAGATTACTTTTTTACAAAAATGGTGTTCTGTTGGATAGTAAAATGACAGTGCACGCTTGTCGAGTTAGATCACTCACTTGTAAGCGTGTCCAGCTCCACAACATATCACGACTTCTGGCCATCCACGAGTCTTCAGCGAATCGATGACAAAGTTTCTATCGGGGGGCATAGTGTAGAGACACGTCTTCGTGTACGCTGGGGGGCCAACTGCCTAGAAACGGTTTAAACATTTTCGTGATTCATTACGAGAACCGACGTTGTCGTCAATATGATATGCCTAGAAAAATAATTCGTTGTTCCAATTTCGATTGACCGAAGCCCCTGACGCATTGAAAATCGATCACAAGTCTCAAAACTCATTACAATTTTATCACATACATGTAGTTCTATTCCTAAGTAGCTATACTACCTAGAAATTCGAGCATGGGAGGGGGGATATGAATAAGGTCTTTAACTTCAGACTTACTTTTGGAATGTGACTTTTAAAAAAGTCAATGCAAACTTTCTCCCTGGTTGGATCGGGATTGTATGTCCGCGTCTCTGGCAGGACCGAAGGTCCCCCAGCGTCTACACCTATCTTGCTATAAGCGTTCACATGGCTAGGTAGGCCATATATATCATGTTCACGTGCGTTGTATATCCATATAGGGAACCTGGAAATTGATGGTGTAAATTGCTGCAATGACCCGAAAGTGATAAGATAACATATGATTAACAAAAATATAATGTATTTAGAGTATATGGTTATTATCCAACCTAGATGAAACCTACTTTTTCTTGGTGAAATCTTTAACGTGTGGCGTCGAGAGGTACGTCACCTGCTCCTGGGTCACGGTCACTGGGACATGTACGCCGATCGTGCCCAACACGTGATTGATCCATGCTCCAGCTGCCACAATTATTTTCCTGCATCGGAACGTACCTTTATTTGTATGAACCTATAGTCAGATTAATGAAAGAGTAGATTTCTGTGACCAAAAAATAAGTTATTGATGGAGCACTGTTATAAAGAAATAGATACTCGATAAGTTTCAGATACACTGGTACTGCACTTTTTATATTAGTTAAGATCCGTTAAAATCATTAGGCCTACCTACCAGCGCACCGCCTGATGTCTTCTCAATCCAGGTGACCCCACACTCATCCAGCACAGTTGCCCCGTGCCCGCGAGCTAATTGAATATGGACAGCGTTCCCCAGGGCGGCGTCCACCAGGCCACCATCCTTTTGATAAAATCCAATGAAATCTTTGCTCAAATTAAACTGAGGAAACCGTCTTGATATTTCGTCACCATCCATGTTCTCAAATCTAAAGTTGAGATGACAAAATGTTTTTAAGCAACCATCTGCAGAAAAAGATGGAGTCTTACCCTAAGACGACTATCTTGCGATAGACGTCCTTGGGAACATTATTGTTTTCATGGCGAAATATTCGGAATCCAGATTTAATTGGTTAATTGGTGAAATCTGAGACTAACATAAAATTTTGTTATTTTTATTTTATTTATTTTTTAATTTTTATTATATAAAATTTTATGATGGTCTAAGGTGAAATCGATGGTTAATCTATATTGTTAAACCAGTGAATTTCTTCAGTTACTTACGGGATGCCCGCTCGTCTCATGGCTTCACCATACTTGGCTATCGTGTCCTCTTGCGGGGTTCCTTTACGAGCAAAGTCTAACCCACCAGTCTTGAACACTAACTGGACGCCAGCTTCCCTTTCCACTTCTTCCCATCTATTTGAAAAAACAGAAATCACATTTTCTAGAGGCATTGAACATCAAAAGAAACAAACGATGACATAAGCAAAGCCCCGTGCTCGTTGCTGAGTGATGGGACCACCTGATATCCAACCGATATCGTTTATTTTATGATTGTAACTCAACTGGGCTATGAAGCGAGAATTAGAGAGGAAATGTTTCACAATTGTTTTAATGTCAGAATGTTAGACCCATCATGTCTTATCATACTTATTTATTGTGTCAGTTATATACTTTTTGATAAGTACATGTAAGTGATGTTAAATGTACAATGTCGTAGGCCTATAAAAATCAACCTATTTGCGACTTGTTCAAACTGGTTAACACAAGTTGATCCCAGCGTTACTTGTACAGGGTGGTCCAAAAAGTGAACCCCTGCAACAAGCTATATCTTACTCATTACCGGCATTAATGGGCTAATATTCTCACATGTTTCAGAGGAAGGTCTAACGTTTTATGGGTACCTTAAAGGTCATTTCGTCTTAAATCTTGCAGAAGTTACATGACATCAACAGACATGCCTGATTTATGGATGATGTGCACAATCTATGCTCCATGGTTCTGGATGACTGCTGCAACGCGAATGTTGGAAGATGTTCGATCCTCACCCTTTCCCAGTATTTCGATCTTAGAGATAATTTTGAGATTTGAGACTTTTTTCAATAGAGCATTATTTCACAGGCTCAAATTAGATGGATATTAGATACATAAGGGTTATGTACTTACGCTGTGTATGTGTGTGGAGTGAGTCTGGTGTACTTCTCATCATGATACATCAATCTTCTGTAAATAAGACAAAAACAGTTTAGTTTACATCATACTTATACAAAACGGTATGGAAAAATAGACCTTTCGTAGTACTTGAAGTTGGCTTGGACCGATCTTGAAAGATAGATCTTTAACGACTATAGAAATATATCCTTAAGTGCCAAATTAAAGGTAGTAATGGTCATGGATGTGATTTTTGAAGATTTTGAGGGATTTTCATTTTTCATATGTATGTCATATCTAAAATTGTAACCTACATGATTCTAGAGTGGTCCTGGGAACCACCATTTTCGTGACCTAATTTGAATTGTTCAAGTCCTAGAACACCTAAAATCATAAAATAATGTTCAACACTAAAATTATTAAGTACACAGATATTACTCTCATCACCTTTTGCTTTCTGCGTGTCCGTATTCAAGAAATTGTTTTGTTCACCAGCTATCTGTTAACATTGTCGCCATAAACGCTCGAAAAACTTATGAGAAAACATTCGGACGAGTGAAGTTGAATTTAAGAATACATGGGGATAGTCCCTGACCTTTTTCTAAGGGCTCAAGATAAGGAGTACATTTAAGGTAAACAATTCCGAATTGAAGGCAGCATTTCTATACTCAATAAACGCTATTCATTTTAGCACATTTTTCGCCAAAATTCTTTAATTATAAAATTAAATAAATAGATATATTTAATTATAAATCCATTGAACATAATTTTTGAATTCGGTTCTCAAGGAATGTTTTGAATAAGCATCAGATCTTTTCCCAAAGACCCGCAGAATGTAAACGATTGATCACAAGTTAATTTTAACCTACCCTTTCCTGCCGTCTTAGAAAGCCAGTACACAGCTCCGCTCCCTATGCCACCACAACCAACAACTATGTACTCATAGTACGGCACAGATGCCATCGCAAAATTGATCAAAGAAAGGCTTTGGCGTGTCTGAGACTCCTCGCTCGATTCGATCCCTCAGATTTGACTCCAAGCCTGTGGACAATATTGACCTGTATACATATACACTCCCCTCCATAAGTTTGGCAACCTTAGCTCCCCCATTGAACTTTTTTACTTAACCGGCGATGAATAACTTATGATATTGAAGGAAACGTAACTTGACTTAATTTTCAATACCTCCAAATTTTCTCAATTTTTTTCCTCAATTACAATGGGTCGAAAATTGATGATAAATTTGATGAATTTTTGAAAATCGTCATTCCCATGTAATCCAATGGGAAAAGGACGGTTCGGGGCAAATCAGAAATCAGAATACCTTTTCAGTAATAGGTTCAGCAAAAAATATTTTCATATAGAAAATTGAATTGTCTAACTTTTTTTGAACACTAAGTGTTAAGTTTATTCGATGAATACTAAAGTTACTTCGCTTCAAAATCATTTGTGCAAATGATTTTTCGCCTCCTGTGTTATTTCAATGGGAGATGTTTTTTAAAAAACAATTTTGACTTTAAAGCCCGATAACTTTGTTGAACCTGAAGAAACATATCAATTCTTTTAAAAATGAAGTTAGCAAATTCAATTGCCTGCCTTACTCGTATTTTTGCAAGGACTCGGATGGATGGATATTCTGTCACATGACTTGCGGCAAACCTACCATTTCCCATGGGATGTCAACAATGACGATTTTCAAAAATTCATCAAAGTTATCATCAATTTTCGACTTATTGTAATTGAGGAAAAAAATTGAGAAAATTCGGAGGTATTGAAAATAAAGTCAAATTACGTTTCCATCTATAGTATAAGTATTTCATCGTAGGTTAAGTAAATAAAAATTCAAAGGTAAAGAGGCTTTAAAATGTAGTTCAATGGGGGAGCTAAGGATGCCGTACTTATGGAGGGGAGTGTACACTTATGACCTTATTTAATCAAGTAAGTCAATCAGTCCTATACATGTATGTTTTACAATCAGCCAACGAGTACAAAGTCAGTTTTAAGTTCATGGTTAGTTTTACTGTCAGCTATCCATACATTCATATTATTAGTCGTAATAAAGTTCTTTAAATTGATTATAGAATTGTTTGTATTTTGCACTAAAGTTAAGCAAGCCATTCCAAAATAAAATGTAGAGGACTAGTTATATATTCCTGAATATCTCAATTTGTAGTAGAGCCGTAATTTTTGAAGTGTGTACATGTTGTATGTACTTAAGTATGTTCTGTGATTACTTGAAATCTTTCTACATTCTACAATGAATTTGTTGTCAAATTTTGTGATAGTACTAATATAAGCTCAATGTGTAGACGTATACCAAGACTTAAAAGCCCGCCCACTTTACTTTATTTAGAAGAAAAAAGAATCAAATTGAAACATGTTACTCATACACTTCCTCAAATATGACACAAAGTTTGATTTGCTTTAATATTGAACCAAGAAAAAATAACTCTCATAGAAAAAAGCATTTGAAGTTCAGAGATCATTACTAGTGCATGCACATGCTAGGCAAAGTGCATATTTTAAATGGTGGGCCTTTATTGATGATGGAAAATCAAATGCCCAAAAACTTATCAGTTCTAGATTCTTATACCAAAAACTCTCCGAAAATTTCAAATGAATCCTTCAAACGGTTCAGTCTGGTAACGTGAAGACAAGATGGTACGCCCCCTAGACCATATAACAACCTGACAACTATATTAAAACATTTCTTTTATCTAAAGTGTCATTATCATGTCTAATCGAAGTCTCTTTGCTAGATAACATTTTTTTATGTTCACGCCGGGCTTTCTCGAAGTAATTTCAATTAAAGGAGTTGCAAGCGCATTTCTCTGTCACGAGTACATTGTACATTAATAGACATCCAAGGATAATCGAGAGTAAAACCCCTCGCTGCTTATTAGCAAGCAGGACATTAATACAGTGCAACCAAGACGTTAAAAAATTCACCAAATAGCGTCCTGGTCACTCGATTATTTGAGCTGCTGGATATAATTGCTCGTGACTGACTAGCTTTTCACTAAATCAATTTCTTCTGAAAATTCTTCAAACTTCTGAACAGTGTGTAACAGTTATATCAAATGTATATCTTTACACATTCCCAGTCCAACGCTTGATTCAAAACAAAACATATACTTTGGGTACACGTTGTCTTGGGTACGACTTGTCTTGGGTTACAGTTTTCTTAGGTACGACTTGTCTTGGGTACGAGTTGACCAGTTACCTATTAAACCAAGGTTTATTTGAAAACACTCCTCTCATTTTTCAGAACACGTTACAGTCTTATTAAATCAACGGTTATGTTAAATTTCAATTTGGGGTTGTAGATATTTGATACCTGAGCCTAGTGCGTACAACATCGTTTTAACTGTAGTTACTGTTTATGCCCATAAACACACAATCACACTACCCTACCTCGATCGCGCATGCGCGAATTTTTTGGCTTTCAACCAGGTCGCTTTTGAGTAAATCGACTGCTAACCCCCCTATCACACCAAACTAGTTCTTACCCGTTCTTGCCAGTCCTTCGAAAACGTCGTAAAACGGGCTCAATCTGGCTGTTGTCGGGAAATATGTCTAAAATAATTCGCTACTTCGTTCATAAACAGTCTTCAGACGTCCAGCTCATTCGCAGTTCGTTCAGGTCGCACCACGTCGGTGTGCAACGTCGTATAACCCGTCCCTTAGTCTAGAAGGTCATCATGACCTGATTACAGAACGGTATGGTCGCCATCAAATTTTGAATCGATTCAAAATTCTAAATCACATTCCCCGTCCGGGAAAGTCCATGAAGTTCGTAAACAGACCGTAGAACGTTGTAGGTACATTCATTCAGTTCGGACACAGTTTAAAACCGATTCGGCAACGTTTTGAAGAAAATGTCTACAATCTGTGAATATTGAGAGGTTCATCCAAAGGATGCGTGAGTCAAATCCTTGTATTAGTCTAATATATATATTAGATATAGTCTATGTATTTTTCAATTACAGGTCATCAAAAGACTGTGCTTTGTAAGAATACTTGATCGAGGTAATTGAAATACAAAACAAAAAATACTTTAAGTATATGCATGACTGTAAAGTAATTTTGCCCATTTAACACAAATAGAAGATTCTGAAACTTCACCAATAAAAGGTGAATTGATTTTTCATATGAAAAATTTACTTTTATATGAACAGGCAGGCGTCTTTACAAATTGACCTCAACCCGTGTACCTACGAATGTTTTTCCGAGATGGCATCTTTTATACTACCCTTAACATTATAGAACCTTTGCATTCGTTCGACTTCGCTTCTAAAAAGAGAGCTTCGTCTTCGTCGGTAATCTATAACTAGACTCTACGCACAGGGTATAATAATTTTCTAAACGTAATTGTGCGTAACCCAAAACATAGTTCTTTTCAAGAAAGATAGGTCAACGCATTTATGTACCAAAGAAGATTTTTTGGCTGATTTACCAATGTATCCATTGTTATTTTGGGTCTAAATTTTGCTCATGTATACATTTATAATCCATGATATTGTAATTGTCTAATTAGCATAAGGTATAGTGTAAGATTGTTTTAATTGTCAAACTATTCTTCAGTATTGGAGGCTAAATAAATAAATAAAGTAATGGTTACATCTGTGAATTACACCGTGAATACGTCACCAGCATCGATGTGGTCATCAATATAAAATACAAAAACCTTTGCGATACTTGCACATACATATAATGAAGTAGTAAATACTTGACACTAAATGACCTTGTGGCCTGGCAAAAACTTGAACAATTGTAAAATTCTATTTCATATACTTTTACAACGGCATTTAATTATATCGTATGATAAGTGCAAAGTAATACACGTTTTATATCTATTTGAAAGAAGTGTTTATGAGGACAAAGAGCTGAAATGAAATTTGATGATATTTTGTCGAAAATCGGAGGATTTGGAACGTACCAAAAACTCCTTATATTGGCTTTCATCATATATTACCCGGGATGTAGCTGGCCATTGATAAGTGTAAATTTTGTTGCTGGTGACATGGACCATTGGTGTAAATTGGACGTGAACGGTGAGAATAAAAGCCATGTCAAGGAGTTGATCATTCCCAAAACGATAGATGCATTTCAAAAGAAAACCTATAGTAAATGTGAAATGTACGACATTAACATGACAGAATTAAATGCGCCAAAGGGTGATCTGGCCGTATATATGTCAACAAAAAATTGGACAAATGTACCCTGTAAATATGGTTGGAATTATGATCAGACTGAGTTCTATTCAACCATTGTAAGTCGTTACAATCTGGTATGTGATCGAGCATGGCTACAGGCAGTACCGACAACCTTCCTTGTCCTAGGCTCATTTTTTGGCTCTATTCTCTCAGGCTACATGTCAGACAGATGGGGTAGAAAATGGACTTTGATAATCTTAATAATAAGCCAAATGGTGTGCAACATTGCTGAAGCATTCTCACCATATTTCTGGTTATTTGTAGGAATTCGTTTCTTGGTAGGTATTTGGAATATGGGAACGTATTCAGTATTTTCTGTTCTCTTAATAGAAAGCATGCCTCCAGTCCGCAGGAATCACTGTACATATTACGTCACGCTTGGGCGCATCCTAGAATTCATTCTCCCGATAACCGCATACTTTGTTCGAAGCCACACACACTTAGTATTGGTAGGCGTGGGTGTCGCAATACCTGGACTTGTTTGTGCCATATTGTTGCCCGAAAGTCCAAGATGGCTTCTCTCACGTAAACGCTACAAGGAGTACGAAAAGGTGGTGCACAAGATCGCTAGGATAAATAATGCTGCTTTTTCTGATGAAATTCTCAGGGGTGAGAGACAAAAAGAAGAAGATGATAATAAGGCAATGGGTACAGCGTCTTTCCTGGACTTAATTAGAACGCCACGTCTCAGAAAGCGCACTCTGATATTATGGTTTTTGTGGTTTAGCATGACGTTTGTTATGTATGCGTTTGCAACAAATATTGGATACCTAATTCCCGGGAGTATATATCTCAATATGACCCTTATCATTGCTGGT